GAGACATGAAGCAAAATTATTCAAACTACAGTTCTTTTACACCGAGCATTTAAATGCTAGATTTCACACTTGAAACTACCAGCAGAATAGACTGTGGCATCTTTTGGTGTTTTGTGAAAAAATATATAAGCTGATTGGGAAAAAAAGCATCTGTGACAAAAGGGTAAAATGCAACTGTAGGATTTAATGTGATGTTAGTTGTACTTCTGTATCAGATACAATTCACTCTTTCAAGTAAAGCTCTGTACACAACAGTAGTAATTAAAGGGGAACTGAATCAGCACTGATGAGCGCATTTCAACCCGCAATGATAGCCAATAGCCACACTTTCCAGGTATGTGCAGCACAATATTCTGTGATTCAGAATGAGGTAACAAGACTTCTATTGATGTGAAGCGGCCTTATTACATTGTAAACAAGCAGGTTTGTGAATACACCTCTTTTAATCCAATAGAAATACTCGACTGCGAGACAGTGTAGCAGACAAATACAGCTTATTTTTAACTCTGTAGACAGATTTATTGGATTTCCTCCAGTGAAATGTCTGCGGTACAACCAGTACTTATTCACTCGTACATTACATCAGTCATTACAGTGACTAGTGAGCAGGAAGGGCCGCCTCACGTCACAATCCTCTGAAACTCTCGCTCTCATCTTTGACGGGACCAGGGGTTTGCGACAACATCGCGACTGACAGTACTTTCACAAAGTTTACGATTTGGTGCTTGATTTGGAATTTGTCCAATTTTTGCAATACCGTCAATGAATTTTATTTTGTTACCGAGGTTTAACGACCGGTCTGAGAAATTGGGACTGCAGTTCCCCCTTGAGGATCGACTTTCCTTTAGCGTGAATGTTGTTCTCAGCTTGAGGGCAGCGGTAGTAGCAATTCACAGTTCGGGTTGTCACGATTACAGCAGGCTTCGCCCTGAGATCATTTCACTGCCAGTAATGTAACACAGGGATGTTCCCCACCTGCACAGTTTGTTCCCGGGTAAAGACTGAACATAAGAGACATTGTGGGTGAGCAAGCCAGTCCTCGTGTGCTTTCAGGCGGACAAGCTCCAGAGCATACCGGCCGAGGAGAGGAAGGCCAGGGCTGTGGCCATGAGCACGAGCCGCCTGCTGACTCAGGAGGACTTCCGGAAGATTCGCCTGGCCCAGCTGGCCAAGGAAGTCAGCTCCGCTCCCGGCAAGAATCAGAAGAGGAAGAGCGCGGACAGCGATGATGAGAGCAGGTGTGTCATTTTTTTTCAGCGGCCTCAATCCCGTTTGAAACCTGGGTCTGAAACGCAGGGTGGGAGCGGTGTTGGATACGTGCAGATTATTGGAGAAAACTTAATGTCCTCTCCTAACTTTGGAAGGTTCATGCCATTCTCCTCTGTGTGTTGTTTTGTGTGAAGGTCTGCTTCTTCATCTAGAGGACAGGATGTGTAGGTTAAAATGGGTAGACGTAGCCTCGGCTTAGCCAAGTCATGTATATAAGATTAACCGCACTGAAATTAGAGAAAATCCCTAGCCTTTGCATGTGGTAACTGTTTATTTATATCGAAGTACAATAAACAGACAGACATCATTTTATTGTTTCAGAGGGGAGCTGCTTTCTTTGAGAAATATTGAACATCTGCATAAGAAACCGAAATCTGACAAGGAAACCCGGCTAGCAACGGCCATGGTGAGGACCGTATTCTTCAGCTTTGCAGTTTGCAGTAACATGTCAATTACCCTGGTGCCGAGAAGATGTATTTAACACATCGGCATTATGACTGCCGTTGGGCTGTTTCCCCGAACATGGATCACTTCGTTTCTGCAGGAAAACGAAAGTAGTGCTTTTCGGCTATCCTTGCAGCTGTAGCTTTTTGCTGTAGCTTTTTGCTGTAGCTTTTTGCTGTTGCTGTTGCTGTTGCTGTTGCTGTTGCTGTTGCTGTTGCTGTTGCTGAAAGGCTCCCCATGCCAAATGGACTGTTGAAGAACAGACTGAAAGACCAGGGTTTTTTTTCCCTAGGCTGGAAGAACTGACAGGAAAGAGTTTGTTAAAAAGAGAGCAAAGCTAAACCCATTTGCCAGCACCACCAACAAAGAAAAGAAGAAGAAGAAGAACTTCATGATGATGAGATACAGCCAGAACATTCGGACGAAGGGCAAGCGCTCATTCAGGGAGAAGCAGGTAAACTTTTTTTAGGGCCTAAAAGGCAGCATTTACTTGTCTGTTGGCCATCGTACCGCCTTTTCTGTTTTGTATGAAAGAATCTGGGGAAAACTGTTAATTAACAGTCTGGAGGTGAAACAGATCTCAGGGGACAAATTCGTTGGGTTTTTAATTCACTTTTTCCAAAGTATTCACAATCACTAAGGAATTAATTAACTGTAATCCTTTTTTTTTAGCCCAAACTTTGCAAATCGTGTATTTTGGACATTTGTGTAAACTACTGCAGGGTATGTGGCTATTAAGGATATATATTTGTAACAGTTTTGTAATGCTGTTATCTGACAGTACCACTGAATTTTGTTTTTCTGTAATTGAAAACACTTATAATCTCTGCTGGTCAATATACATCCTCTCCTGACACACTGCTTCTTGCAGTGTCTCCCAACTCTTGGTAACCCTTTATTTTAAAAGCAAAACACTGAAGCCTGGCCTATGAACAGGTGCTTAGAGCACTTTTGCAATCATTAGCTGGTAAGAAACCTACCAGGTACTAAAGAAACAGTTAATTGTACACTTTAAAAAAGTGAACCCCATCGACCCTGGCTTATTCTTAGTTTAGGAAAAATCCTAGTTGTACCTTTTCCAAGTGTCTTTTTATAATTGTTTATGTGGTTTTTGCATTTATTTTTTTCAGATTGCTCTAAGGGAAGCCCTCTTAAAAAAGAAGAAACAGCACATGAAGTAGCTTCCACAACACCAGGCAACAGAACTGAAATTATCCTTCTGCATGCAAATCTTCACAGACTGATGAAAACAGCCTGCATTCTGGAGTGTCTGTTCTTGTTTAAACTGTTTTTTCTTTGTATTTCCATTATAAAATTATCCAGTTTTGTACAAACCATTTTACAAGCAGGATTCTGTATCTATTAAAAAAAAAAGTTGAATTTTTTTCTTGCGGTGCCCATGTATTTTATTTACCTGTATTTCAGGTAATCCTCTGGTAAAGAGGCTTGTAATTGTAAAACATGTCTAGGCTTTTAGTTCTGCACTTTCCCAGAAGTACGCCCCATACCTGCAGAAAAAAAAGCGAATTACTTGGTCAGTATTGTAAAAAATGAGTGCAATGCTATCTTTTTCCCAGACGATATATCATGGCATGCATGTCTTGTTGGTATTTTGTTAGCATATGTTTGTCATGGTATGATGAAAACCACATGAAGGTGGAAGCAGAGCATTTCCAAGCTATCTCTACTGGTGAGGTAGCGAGTGACATTTCTAGTCCCTCTGTGAGAATCAGACAGGAAAAGAAACACGAGCTGTAATCATCCAGAAGGCTTTTATACCACACACCATGTACTTCTTTCTTCAGAAATGACAAATACTGGGTCGCACCACACCCATCAGGATTACAGCTGAGAGCTGTAAAAAGCTAACAACCCAG